CAGTGTCTTAGCCACTAAGGGGACTATTGTTTTTGCTGAAATAAATTGACTTACCAAATATTTTTGGCATGTGCAGATCTAGCAATGCTTCCAGTTTTGGACACCACAATACTGAGACTCTAGAAAGAGTGTAGAGAAGAGCAACAAAGATGATTAGGGGACTGGAGGCTAAAACATATGAGGAAGAATTGCAGGAACTGGGTATGTCTAGGTTAATGAAAAGAAGGACTAGGAGAGACATGTTAGCAGTGTTCCAATATCTCAGGGGCTGCCACAAAGAAGAGGGAGTCAAACTATTCTCCAAAGCACCCGAGGGCAGGACAAGAAGCAATAGGTGGAAACTAATCAAGGAGAGAAGCAATTTAGAACTAAGGAGAAATTTCTTGACAGCAAAAACAACTAATCCATGAAACAGCTTGCCTCCAGAACTTGTGGTCTTCCATGACTGGAGGTTTTTAAGAAGAGATTAGCCAACCCCTGGTCTGGAATGGTATAGGGTTTCCTGCTTGAGCAGCGGGTCGGACTAGATGACCTCCAAGGTCCCTTCCAACACTGTCACTCTGTTCAATGGGAACAAAAAGTGTGCTTTTGCAATTCACTACCCAACACGTTTAAAAAGCAATGTCATTCAGGTGCATTTATATTCTGCAAATATTTTGGCAGGTTTGAAATTGGTATGTTGTTCTAAAATTTCCTGATCAACCCGATTTCTCATCCGCCGCTAACCTGTATTGCACCCAAAGATGGATTCTGTTTATATCTTTNGAGAGAGAGAGATTTCAATCAAGAAAATCTGAGCCTTGAACACACCACTTTATTAAATAGCAGATGATCTTCCATTGGAGGAATGTAAGTTATTGGATGGTCATCGGTTAGCGTTGCAGGATTTCTATACAGCGGCTGAAGGTAGATTAATGTGTTGGGGTATTTTACTTGTGAAGCTGACCGGAGTGACCTAGAAACTAATTAAATAATAAATAAGTAGATCAATAAAGGTCCCCGAGCCTTTTTTTTTGCAAAAATTATGATTTGATATAATTGAAAAGAAAACATCTTGCATGCAGAGGGCAATATTTTCTCTTTGTTCCTGTGCCCAAGATGGATGGTGTGGACTGGCTGATCTGCCACAGAGACATGGATCAACCTTAGAGTTTGGTCTAACAGTCTCCAGGCTGGGAGACACTCCAGCCATAAATCTACGGGCAGTGATTCCACCCTGACTGTGTCTCCACTTTTGATTTACTCAGCAATTAAAGGGAAGAAAAGGCATAATTGGGTGGTGACATGATCCTGCCTTTGACCCACAGCAGAATGACACAATGGGGCTAATGAATCTGATCAGAGAAAGGCAAATAAATCAAGTCAGCCTCCAACTGGTGGGGAGAAGAAAATTATTACCTCTAGCCCCCCAGGGACGGCCAAACTCTTCATCCCTGGGGGATTTCAGTTCACAATAAAAAATCAAGTGAGGAAGGCATGTTTGCAGTGGCCAAAGCTGAAGCTATAAGTATAGCTAGTATTTTCTTTCTTCCTTGTTCCAAATTCCTGAAATCTGAAGGATTAACTTGTAAAGGCTTGATGGAAGTAAGCCAAAGATCAAGGATGAAGGACCCCTTCTCCTCTCTTAGTGCTTTTTGAGTTCTCAGTAACTTTGCATGATTTTAGAGAAAGAAGATCTTCTTCATCCATAACTTTCAGATATATTGGACAGAAGGTCCCACCATTTCCCAGCTGGTGGCTAATAGCATCTTGTCTCTGAGAGCAGGAGGCATGCCAGGATAGGAGAAAATATCTGAATATGTTGAGCAATTGAGTAATCTACTTAAAGTATTTGAATTTGGAGGCCCTCACTACAGTCACTCATGCCCTTGTGACCTCTAGACTGGACTACTGCAACGTGCTCTACATGGGGCAGCCCTTGAAGA